TAGGGTTGATTTTTTTTTTTTTTTTAGTAGTACAGGACCATCAAGATATTCCTGCTTTAGTAGCTAGCTTCTCTACGGAACTTTCTCGTTTTGTGTAAATTTTAAAATTTTGCATAATATCCACTTGCAACATTTTTGCTGACTGTAGCATCTGTAATGATGTGTCCATTTTCTTTTTTGGCATTTGTTATGGGTGCCTCTTCCATTTTTCTTGATTGATCTTTGGTCTCTTGGAATAACCAATATTGCTTTTGTTGATTTGTTGATTTTTAATATTTTAAAATTTTATTAATGCTTATTATTATTTTTCCCTTCTACTATTCATAGTTTACTTTTGTTGACATGGATACTTGTGTCATTGACACACATCTTTTATTGACATTTTTAAAAAATATGTGCAGATATATAAAGTCCCTGCAAGCATTTAATAGCTGCATTCCTTATGTTCTTTGTAGGTATTGTATAATTTTTCTATTAAATTTAAAAATGTTTACATTTCTATTGTTTTTTTTGTGAANTTATGTTCTTTGTAGGTATTGTATAATTTTTCTATTAAATTTAAAAATGTTTACATTTCTATTGTGATTTTTTGTGAAAGATGGATAACTTAGAATCAAGTTATGTTAAATTGATCATGAATTAAATGAAATTCATATGCTTTGAAACTAGATGGAGAGTAGAATCTCATTTTGTAAGTCTACCAGAACTAATTATATAATCTAGAGAGGACTCAATCAGGATGCAGTGTTATTATATTCTTTCATAGAGAGATATGAAAGGAAGTTGCATGCAGGCTTCAAATCACTTATGAATCAATGTTGGCTTATAAAACTAAAAATTTATATCAATGAGCACAACTAAGATAATTTTATCTAAGAAGTATTTCAGGAAGCCATTATAAGATGCAATATGTGTCTGTAGACAGATGAAGTTTTCATGTTCATCTGGTTTGGACTAATGTAAATTTTAAATTATCTCTTGATATAGTATGCACTTCTTCCAAAATATATTTTCTTATATTTAGAAAATTTATAACTATAATTATTTATCTTTTTTAGGTCAGTTGTATTGTCATCATGGATGCTTTAATTTACTGGCATAGAGATAAAGATTAATATGTCAGTATTAAGTTTATTGTTATTAATATAGAGATCTGACCCAAGAAATCCTTTTTTCTTCTGTTCACAGGAATAAAGTAACAATGAATATAAACAATGAATAATAAACTGTAAAGGTTTGTTAATATAATTTTATTCAACCAATGAAAAATATCATCCAGGGTATGAAACATGCACTACTACACAGGCAAACTCATTTTAAAAGTTTACAAGATGCAAACATAGCTAATACATTCCTACTTAACAATAACACCAAACTGCATGGATTTTCCTTCTGTATATATTTTACTATCTGAATATGACGTATGTGTCTAGGTACATATGTATTTCTTGAGGAGGTGTCAGGTGAACCCTTCCCTAGAAATTGAAACAGGTTAGGTATACAGCCCAGAACCACAAGGACTTTCTGAAATCTGCAGTGAATGAGCGAGCCATTGTATTGTGGTTTCTTTTTTTTAAGGCCAAAGAGAAAGGCTTTCCTTTATTTTTTCCTTAACTTTGCATTATGCAATATTTGAAGTGTAGCAGACAAAATAAATAACTTATGAAGAACAATGCATATTTGAACAATGGTGCAATGCTAAATAGGACGGACATTACCCACAGCATTCAAGTACTCTTCTGAAGTACACCCTTTTCCTGGTTGGAGCACTGGCTTTGCTCTGCTCAATGTGGCTTCCATTACTGACTGACTCCAAGGCATCTGCTCCAGGTGTTTCTTAATCCCAGCCACTGGGACAGAGGAAAGAATCCTGAGCTAATATTAATATCTTTTAAGTGATGGCTTGAAGGTACACACATCATTTCTCATATCCTGTTGCCAGAATTTAGTCATGAGGCCACAATTGTCTGTGGAGATTAGGAAATCTCTGTAGCTGGATGGTCATGTGTCAAGCTATAATTTGAGAGGTGTTCTGTTAGTAATAGGAAGAATAGGCACTTGACCACTGGGAAAAGCTAGGAGACAATCATTGAGATATAGTTTATTCACATGTTCAGCTTTACAAAACAATATAAATAGTTTTTTCAGAGAGGTTAAATCAATTTACACCCACACACAAGGTAAAGAATTTCCATGAATACACATTCTCAACAATAACTGCTGTTGTTTGATGTATTTTTTATAAACCTGTTTCACAGATGTAAAATACCATTTCATCATGATCTTGTTACATATTCCAGATTACTTATGAGACAGTCTTCAGTGAAATAAATACCTGTTCATGTCTTTTGCCCATTTTCTGCCCTTTGGGGATGTTTATCTTTTTTATTCACTTGTAGGAGGTATTCTGATTTCTGTAAAATATTATTGTTTCTTTATTGAAGGTTCACTTTGACCTCATCACTCTGAATTTCTTTTGCTTTAAAGCAACACATTCTTAATATTTCTTCAATGTAAGTTAAAATAAATAAATAAAAGTCATTTATTAATATAAGAAAGGAAATAATTTTTCAACTCAGTGAAAATCCATTTGCTTGTGTATTTAAGAAAAATTTTCAAGGGAACTTCACTTTTAAATCAACATTTGACACTTGAAAACTTGAATTACAGGGATTATACTGTGGAATACAAGTATTGTAGTTTGATTTATTTGTATTTTGTTTTCCAAGTAGAAGCAGACCACTCAAATATCTTCCTTAACCTTTCTAAGATGGTTTACATTTAGGAGGAGTAAATCAAATATTTCTAGAAATGAGAATAATGATAACTAAACCAAAGTGATGTATTAAATATACATAAGTTAGGTAAAATGCTTAGCATAGTGTTGTGAATATAGGTAGTATTTAATAAATAGATTTATTTTTAATAGTTCTTGTTATCATTGTTATTACCATCTAGTAATTTTATATCATATACAAAAGAATATATAGGCAAAGTTTTACTCTCGTCAAGTGATAAGAATATAAGTACTGGAAATTTGAATTTGTATTCTTAATGGAATAAATACAAAACATATGTCTGAAACTGCTTATAGCTTATAGATATGAACATATTTTCAGTTCAGTTAACAGGTCAAAATATGTCTAAATTGGGGAGCACACAGAGGAATTGCTGATTACATGAAAGATCTAAAAATTGCACCTTGAATCCATGTGCTAACTTGTCAGTCTCTTTATGGCATTCTTAATCTCTTTATTTCTCAGTGTATAAATGGCTGGGTTCAAGAGAGGTGTGATTACTGTGTAAAATACAGCAAGAAACTTGTCCACCCAAGAGATGCTAGGTGGCCACAGATAGATGAAGATGCAGGGTACAAAGAACAGCACTACCACTGTGACGTGGGAAGTGCAGGTAGAGAGTGCCTTTGATGCCCCATCCTTGGAGCAAAGACAGACAGTCACCAGGATGTAGGTGTAAGAGATCAGCAAGAGAATGAAGCAAGTTGTAGCCAAGACTGCACTGTCAGCATTTATCAACAGTCTCAGAGTATGAGTATCCAGGCAGGCTAGTTTGATCACCAGAGGAATATCACAGAAAAAACTGTCTACTATTCTGGGTCCACAGAAGGGAAGATATAAAATCATAGCTAGTTGACTTGTGGCATGCACAAAGCCAATGATCCATGATGTCAGTACTAGCCAGATGCACTTCTGTCTGTCCATGATGCTGGAGTAATGGAGTGGCTTGCAGATGGCTACATAACGGTCATAGGCCATTGTCACAAGCAGTACCATCTCACCCCCTCCAAAGAAATGTACACAGAGGATTTGGCTCATGCAGCCCCCAAAGGAGATGGTTTTATTATCCTTTAGGAAGTCTGTGGTCAGTTTAGGAGTGGTCACTGAGGAAAGGCAGAAGTCAACAAATGAGAGGTTGGCTAAGAGGAAGTACATTGGGGAATGGAGATGAGAGTCAGCGNGGAGTTGCTGATGGACAGGGAAGACTGGCATGCTGCAGTCCATGGGGTCACAAAGAGTCAGACAGGACTGAGCAACTGAACTGAACTGAATTTTCAGATTAATTTTTTAGATTATGGACATTGTCTTCAGCCCACAGAAGTGAACTACGAAGTGAATCTGGTATAGACACTTTTGAACACTGTAAAATCAGTCCTTCTTACTAAACAAACATGGAACTCTCATTGAGGGAATATTGGCTTGAAGGGGCAGTAAAGATTATTAGGTGGCCCATAATGCATACAGATTTAGTCTAGACTGTATGACTGTCTTCGTTTCCCTCTTGCTGTCCACTGTCTGCATGCTTGTATGACTGTCTTTATCTCCTCCTTGCTTTCTAATGGTCTGTATGCTGGAGGCTTGTATGACTGTCTTCACTTCCCTCATCTTGCTGTCTCCACAGGTCTGTAGGCTGGAGGCTTGTATGATTGTCTTCATTTCCCTCTTCTTTCTGTCCATTGGCTGGCAAACCAGGAAGCTGAGGCCAGATTCCCTGCCTGCTGGCAGGGCTACTGCCTGAGGAGAAAGGTCAAGGCATTGTCACGGGACAAGAGAATGCCTGGAATGTGGCCAAATGGGAACGCAGTTAGACATTATTTTTAGGTCCCACAGGATGAGGTCTGGAGCAGTCATTGTTATTGGAATTGAAAACCGTCATCTCATCAATAATCATTAGAGAAATGCAAATAAAAAATACAGTGAGGTATCACCTCACACCAGTCAGAATGGCCTTGATCAAAAAATCTAGAAACAAAAAATGCTGGAGAGGGTGTGGAGAAAAGGGAATCCTCCCACACTATTGATGGGATTGTAAATTGGTACAACCATTGTGTAGAACAGTATGTAGGTTCCTTAAAAAACAAATACAGAACTACCATATGACCCAGCAGTCCCACTCTTGGGCATATAGCTGAAGAAAACTCTAATTTGAAAAGATACATGCACCCTAGTGTTCATAGTTGCACCATTTACAATAGCCAAGACATGGAAGCAACCCAAGTGTCCATCAACAGAGTATGGATAAAGAAGATGTGATTATTGTATATACAGTGGAATACTGCTACTCAGTCAGAAGAGAGAATGAAATATTGCCAATTGCAGTAACATTGGTGTACCTAGGGGTTATCATATTAGGGAATTAAAGTCAACAGGGAGACGCAAATATCATATGATTTAACTTATATGTGAAATCTAAAAATAATGTGGATATAAATGAACTTATTTACTAAAGAGAAACAGAGTCGCAGATATAAGACACAGATTTATGGTTACTGAAGGGGATGGGGAAGAGGAGGGAGAGAAATGAGAAGTTTGAGATTAATGTATACACACTACTATATATCAAACAGGTAACCAACAAGGACTTACTGTATAGTACACGGAAGTATATTTAATATCTTTAAAAAAAGTAATGAAAATATACATATATATATATTTATATATGCACTGAATCACTTTGTTGTATACCTGAAGCTAACACAACATTGTAAATTAACTATATTTCAATTAAAAATGAAATTTGAGGCATATTTTATGACTATTACTGTCACTACAAACATTCAGCACAAGTGTTATAAACATTGGTGGCAATGAGTTGAATCAATCAGAAAAGAGAGCCAGTCCACTTTACGGGGGAGGGGGGGTCACCTTCCTTCCCCAAATCACCCCATCTCTCTCAGATTGAATAGGTTTTAAGCAGAGAGATGGTTTACTGGCTAGTGGTAAGAGGAAGGGGGTGCCCCCCAAAGACCTGGTTTTCTTCTTAAACAGTGAAAAAAAGTTGAAAGAAAAAAAACAAAAACAGCATAAGAACTTGCCAAGGTGACTTTGGTCCAGTTTAGCTTTGCTTCAACCCCCAGTTATTGTATTGCTATTTTAAAATTTCTGTGATTTCTTAACAATTAGAGAAGGTCAAGAGAAGAACAAGAGGTTTCAGTATAAAAATAAGTATTTTATAAAAAAGAGACTTTTTGGTGGAGGGGGAAGGGTAAATGATTTCCTCTTTCTCTATGTCCTAGAATTGCATCAGCAAAGCCCAGAATCCACGAAGAACATTAAAGCAGTTATTCAAGCTAGAGAAATAATTAAGGCTATTCATGTTTGACACTTTAATATTATATTATATCAATGTATAAAAGACTGAGAAATTAAGAAAAAACTTTTTTTGAATGTTTATAAATACAATTCCTTCCTCCAGAATTTGGCATGTATCCTTCCTAGATTTTTATTGAGAATTTATATTCATAAACATATTCTTGGAAAAAAGTATTTTAAATTTTTTCTGTGTCAAATTGTGTATTTTGTAATTTCATTTTGTATCTATCAACATGATTTGACAGTGTATCTGTATTAGTATATGGACTTCCCTGGAGTATATAGATCAGCATCATTTCTTTAAGCTATGCAATATTCAAAAGGTGAATAAACCACAATTTATTAATCCTTCTAAAAATGGTAGAACAAATAAAATCCAAAAGGAATTAGAAGATATCAGGATAAATGGAAGTGTCTCTAAGAACTGATCTCACCCAATGTGGGCATATGAGAACTTCTTAGATTGTAGAAAGGCAGTGTTGGTGAACACATCCACAAACCTGGAGATGATGCATCTCAATGTGACAGGCACAGTAGCTGCTGCATTCAGAACCATCTCATCTTTGCCTGTGTATCTCTTCATCTGGATATTTATCTAGATTCTTTACTATATTTTTAAATAACATAGTAAGTTTAAATAAGTAGATCCTTAAGTTCTGTGAGCCACTCTAGCAAATTAATTGCAATGGAGGAGGAGACCCTGGGAGCCCCTGATTTATAGACAAATCAGAGAGAAGTTGTCTATAATCTGGGGACCTATTACCTCAGACTGGCATCTGAAGAAAAATAAGAGTCTAGTGGGAATGAGCCCTTTACCTATGAGCCGTAGCATTAGCTTCAAGTACACAGTGCTGAACTGAGTTAGACTGTGGGACACCGAGAATTGAGTTAAGTTGTTGCAGATAATTGCTTCATATGGGACAAAACCTCCGCATGTGATCAGAAGTGTCAGAGGTGGAGTGTTTGATGTGAATAGCAAAGGGCATTTGCAGGGAAGAAACAAGCAAGAGGTAGACGGAACTGAGTTTCTCTTTTCTAATGTTATATGGTGTTTTTTATAAACCAGTTACTATAATCTAATTTTTTTTAGTCATTGAGTGTTGTCAGGTAGGCACGTAGTACAGAATTATCCAATGAAATATAAACAAAAGTCAGTTTTGGGAATCTGTCTTTTCCAAACAAAAGGACAAATCTTCATGTGCAGATAGATTTTCCTGATCTTTTTTTTTCCCTTTATTTGCTGCTAATGTTATGCCAAAAGTGAAGCTTTATAGAGCCCATATACAAAGAATAATAGTGAAAAGTTTAGAAAGAAACTGGACCCAAGATGCGTGTTGAGTCACTTAATCAGAGCCCATAATGGTCTTCTGTCTTTGCCTTCTAGTACATAGTCATGTCTGTATCTGTAGCTTTATCACTGGTCTCCAGAGAAATCCATCCAGAGCTCTATATGATATACGCAAAGGGAAGTCCCACTTCCACCTTCAAGTTAACATGTCAAAACTGAACTTATAGTATAATCTACCCCAATGCCTTGGTAAATATCATTACCATTCCCCCAGATGCCCAGAATAGACACTTATGTTGCATTCTTGTCCATACTTAAATTTTTATCTCTAGTTATACAATTTTTACTCTCAAATATGTCTCAATTCGCATCTCTTCTCTTTACTTCTGTTGTCATTTTTTGCTTCTAGTCTACATGTTTTCCCATGTTGATAATTTAAAAGACTATTGATGCTTTTCTCTTCTCCATTCTTCCCCAATTCCAGCTCATTGCATAGTCTGTTTCCAGTTATGTGCATCGAAAGTCAAATATGATCACAGTTTTGTACTTATATTCTTAATCAATCAAGAAAAAATTCCTGAAATCCCACAGCATATGACATAAGACTGTGAGAAGTAGTGAACAATATTTGTTTTCAGAGGAATTTGCATAAACATTTTAGAAAGTGAAAATGTCAGAACGTTTCAAAATTAGTACCTGATTAAAAGAAAATCTCTTGGTAAAATAGGAAATATTAATAAGCATACAATTAAATAAAAATATAATTATTGATGTACAGCTGACATAGACTATTATCTTAGTTTCAGGTATACAACATAGTTATGTGAAAAACATATTATGAAATAATCACCTTTATAATAAGTCTAGTTAACTTCTATCATTCTAGAAGTTGTTAGAGTATTACTGACTATATTTCCTATATGTATATAACATCCAATGAATTATTCATTTCATAGCTGGAAGTTTGTTCTTCTAATACCCTTCACTTACTTCATTCATTTCTCCAACACCCAATCTATCTGGCAACCATCAGTTTGTTCCCTTTTTTAAGAGTCTGTTTCTGTTTTGTCTTATATTTGTTTTATTTTTTAGATTCCACATATAAATAAAATCATATGGTATTTGTTTTTCTCTGTCTGACTCAGCATAATACCTTCAAGTTGTGGCAATGGCAAGAATTTTTTCTTTTTTTCCCCTTAAAAATATTTTAATTGGAGGATAATTGCTTTACAATACTGTATTGTTTTTTTCAGTACAACAATGTGAATCAGGCATAAATATACATATAGCCCCTCCCTCTTGAGCCTTCCTCCCACCACCCCCATCCTACCCCTCTTTGTCAACACAGAGCACCTGCCCGAGCTCCCTATTATATATAGCAACTTCCAAGAGCTATTTTACACACAGTAGTTTTACAAATGTCAAACAAAGCTACTCTCTCAATTCTCCCTATCCTTTCATTCCTCACTGTGTCCACAAGTCCATTCTCTATGTCTGCATCTCTATTCCTGCCCTGTAAATAGGTTCACATATAAAATTTTTATGTATTATATATATCATATGCATTAATATCTGTTATT